GTTGATACTAATATCATTGAATATAACTATGATTTGGACCCAATTGAGTTATTTTCCCTTCCATGGATCTGATTTTTTCACACTAGCACCACTGCTTTCAGGATGGTTGCATCAGAGAGGATTTTTTTCCCTTTGCGCCACTCTACTTGGTAGAGGAGTATTTGGCTTTTATTTTAGCTTCCTGTGTAGGCAACAAGCAGAGGAACAGAAGATGCAAAGGAAACATGACAAGAAATGTTTTGTGGGAGTATTGTAAGTACACAGTAGTATTGTGCCTACTGCACCTCCCAAAGGAACTGAGGAAGAGTATGGTTCTTAGATCATGATGTTCTCTAAAGCCTTAGTCTGAGGTCGGTAACATGTAGAGAAGTAACATGTAGAGGGGTTGGTGACCAGGGGGATCAGAGGGCATGTCTCTGCTGCCTCTTGACGATCCRTTTGCATAACTTCTACTCTCCAGCTCTGACTCTAATGTAAGTGCTGTGATACCATAATCCACTTGAAGAAGGACCATAGAACGTGGGGTGATTCCTTGGGAAGTCTGTCATGGCACTGCAACAACCAGGAAATTRCAGTGAAAACTGGAGTTTGAAAACCCTCCTGGCATTATTTCTTTGTAGGTGTAGGTTCGGGTTACCAGTTTCTCCAATACCTGCTGTATCTCCGATRAGCATTTTTATTAAAGAAAAATGCAAAAAAAAAAAATCCTGTCTATGATTAAAAAAGACAACACAAAGTACCTCACTTTAAAGGAGAGATAAGCACACTATCAAAGCAAACTATCAAGCAAACTATCAAAAACTGTGAGGAAAACCCACAAAAGCTGTGTARCATTTCAGCTATCTTTTTTAATCATAGAAAGGATTTTTTTTTGCATGTTTTTACAAATGTTTTTAAGTCTTAGATGCAATTCTGAAGGAAAGAAGGCACTTTTCACTTAAACCTGCCTAAGTTTTATCCAACTATTAGCCAGTAAGACATAAAAATATTCCTGTGCGGTAGGTGTATGTGTGTTATCCTTTATATATGCAGACATAGCACTGTTGTACCACCTGAAATTCCATCAGGCTCCAAACTCTGTAGAGAGTGACAAATGCTAGACAGGTATACAATTTATAATGGATGAGGTATGCAAGCAAGCTCTGGGAATTGTAGTGAATTTGATTACAAACAATAATGTGACACAACCCCTGCTGTGGATGGTACATACATTGAGAGAGGCACTGCAATCGGGCTGCAGGAACACTACCCTGAAAGCATGATCCAGAGCCCCAAATCCACTTTTGCAGCACACTTGCCATGTGGCTTTGGGAGAACCGTGTCTGAAACAACAGTCCTTCCCCAATTCCCTATCTATCTGTTTACCATCATTTATTAAACAATCCTACCTCACTAAGTTACTTCAATGCAATTTATATCTCAGCATGCTACTAGGCTTCAGGGAAGCCTTTGAATGGAATTATGTGAAATGACAAGAATTTATTTGAATAATTTTCGGTAGTAGCTCGCAATGAGCCTGACAACTTTTCCTCGAGGTAACTTTTCCTCATCAAGAAAACTTTTCCAGTGGGACCATCTCGCACCCCAGCGAGTGCACTTCCAGTGCAGAAGTGAATGATAGAGATGTTGGCCAACATTCATGTCCCAAGCAGTACTGAATGCAAAACCTGCCTTGTTCTAGACAAAAGACTGAAAAAATCCTCATATTGAGTCAACAGCTGACAGTGGCTTTTATGCTCACACCTTTTAAAAAAAAAAAAAAAAAAAAAAAAGATGTTTTCCAATCCTGCTTCAGAACCGAAGCAAGTCTGATTGGGCAAGTCTGCCTGCCTGAGCAACTGCGGCAGCCTTATTTTATGTATTGAGGAGAGTAAGGATTTGCAGGCCAAAATGTTTGTTAGAGTATTGGCCTAACTCTTCTTGTGGAGAATGTCAGTTTAATGACCATTTTACTTTTAAGAATGTAGTTTCACAGTTGACTAAAGGCATAACCCATTAATAAAAGCAAGGTCTACTTTGTTTGGATAACCATCCCACCACTCTATAACAACGTGATCTTTTGTGATTCACAAAGATTCATGCATTTTATAAAGTTGCATTTCACTGAATGTGGGATTTTGTCTCATGGTAAATAAACAGATCAGTGCTGCTTCTGTCTGTCTGTGTGTATGCTTTGAACTCTCTAATGTTCAGCTCCATTACTACTTTTATCACTGGTTGGTAAGAAGTAACATTTCAATAAAAACATCCTGGAAGAAAAATGTATGCTCTGTGCAGGATGTTGATAGTGATATTTATTAAATAATAGTCTCTTGATTGCTTTGAGCTACATAAAAACATAGAAAACAAGATAGTTTTTGCACTGTAACAATCCCTTCATTTGTTCTAGTTTGTCAAGAAACTTCATTTCTTTTACAGTTTTTTCCTTGCTCTTCTCTGCACAGTATTCATATCACTAAGAAGTCCTTGAAATGTTGCTTTTAACTTTAACATTAGATCAATGAGTGCTTTTTGCAAACTTCAAATTCAATCATAAAGTCATTGATAAAGATTTAGTACTGCCCTCTGCTTCCACTTTTATATTATCAGAAGCACAAGGATCCTGCTGTTCTCTGTTACCTCACGTTATCTCAGATGGAAAATTTTGGYATTATTTTAATCTTTGGCCATATTTTCCAGAATCTTGTTGAAAGGCATAACTCAAGGAGCTAAACATATGCTATATTCCAGAAGTTTTTCAGAAGGTGGCTTCACCTCAACTTTGAATGCTTTTGTCTCCAGGACCTCATGCACTACGTGTAACCTATGGCATTTTGACAAATCCTTTCTCCAAAGCCGTGGCCCTTTGAGAGTGTCCTGTGGGAGCAGAAGTGGACAGGGACCATTGCAGTACAAACTAAAAGCACTGTATTTTAGAGGGTCTTAGTTTGCAGTAGGAAATGGTTGCACAAGGTAAAGAACTGATCTAGGTTGGTTTCCTCCTCGTGGGAAATGAAAGTCTTGCCAGTGCTGTGGAGCCACCCTCAGTGAGTGCACACATCTGCAGATGGACTTGGTGAACAATTCTCCTTGCTACCTCTGGTGCTTCAAGCTATGCTTAACATTKGACTGTGGAGATGCCTCTTTATACATATATCTTCTTCATTCTTCGTTTTCATATTCYTTTAGGTTGTTCCCATTTACTACCCTGTTGACTTTGGGGCATCTGTTTCTGGGTTCTGATCTTGGAAGTAGGAGGATTATGCTTACTCTTCTAGGTTGATTTCTTTTGCATGGAATATCACATGTGTTTTTAATCTGACAGTCATTTCTTTTAGGTTTTCAAACAAAACTGCCATAGTTTGGAATGGAAATACATTACCATTCTTTATTCTGTGTATAATTCAGTTGTTTTTTTTACTGAAATCATGTGCTCATGACCAGGATTCTTAATTGTTGTAAAGATATATTTGCAGTTTGATTCTTGCTATTGGTGACAGAAAACTTTAAAAGAGCTATAAGAACGGCTTACTATCATCCACCAAGCCCTTTACTCCTCCTTCATGCACCCTTTCTGGCTTACTCATTCTACCTCATCTTTCTCTCTTTTTTTTTTCTCCTTTCTTTTGCTTTTTCCAGTTTATGGCTCATTGATTTCAYAAGTCATCCCAAGACCTCAGGTTCATCCCCAGGGCATAGACATCTGGAAGGCTGAAATAGGGCTGTCAGCGTGAAAAGAAAGTGGAGACAACTTGGCTTCATCTGGCGATCCACAAATAACTTGAGCAGTGTTTCTAGCCATGAAATCCGAATCCCCTTTTAGAACTAGCAGAAATAACGGCCTTGATTCACACCCAGTTTACTTTGGCTATTGCTGGTGGATGTTAGAATAGAAAATGGTGTTGGTAGAGCAGGACAGTTAAGAGCAAAATAGTGCAAAGACTTCGCAAGCTGTTCCTCTTAGGATCTTATACCCTTCTATCTCAAGCCCCTAAAATGTTGGTTGAAGTGGTAAGGACAGAGCCTGATGACCTAGTCAGGCCATAATGTGAGAAAGCATCACATTGCTGTGATGTCCTGGTTGCTGCTTAAGCCATTCTGCCTTAGTGACATCCCTGTGGCACACTGCTTGCCTTCATGAATTTAAGCAGTGCTTTAGCCTATTTGAAAGCCTCTCTGGGAAATACATTTTGCTCCTGTTTATGCTGGCAGGTTGATGTAGGCCACCACCYTCCAAGCCTCACATTTGGAGCACGTGCTAGAGAAACAATGACAGAGTTTTGCTACCTTGAGCAGTGGGAGCAGAACACACCTGCCCTGTTTGATAAAAGGAGTTTTATAGCTTTTAGAAGTGAATGATGAGGCGCAAGCTCTAATTTAGGAGACATAAGCATTTTGTTGGGCATTGTTGCTACCTGTGCAGTGCATGAGAAATATCACAGCTAACCATTTTATTTCATGATACTTACTGTATTAGATACAACAGAGCTCTTTTTAGGGTATCCTTTACTTTACAGCTTTGCTTTTCTCCCTCTCCACACAATAGCACAAGTTCACGTTGTGACTGCTTTCAGACCTAGCTGTTGTGTTCATGCTGTCACTGCTATGACGTGCAGCAACATTTAGGAGGTCTCTTCTTCAGGCAGATGATAGTCCCCTTGGTCTCACTGTTAAGCTTGTCTGGGCCAAGTGTGCTGGGCAGCTCTGAGCTCTGCCYGGTGGGCAAAGCCCAGCTTTACTGAAGGGAAACTTTGCTTTGATCCCCTCCAGTGAAGCCCTCTTCTCACCACAGAACTGCACTGGCAGAACCACACGCTGTTATTTATGGGAACGGGTTCCTTAGCATCCTGCCAGAACCCCAACACTGTGAATCCCGCAGCGTTCCCCGCTTGAACCCCGCTGAGCTCAGCGGGACGTGTTCCCCACGCTGTAACGGATCCAGAACTTAATCCAGGGTATCTTTAAGCACAGTAAGTGGTGCTGACCCCGGCATAATTGTCTTCCCTCTCCTCGATTCACAGCTACCTCATCCCTGAACTCCCAGCTGCAACAGCTTCAGCATCTTCAGCAGCTCCAGCAGCAGCAGCAGCAAGGGCAGCAGCAGCAGCAGCCGCAGCAGCAAGGGCAGCAGCAGCAGCAGCAGGCAGCTCGGCCAGCAGAGCCTCCCCAGCCACCCCAGCAGGCCCCGCAGCCGCCGGCGTCAGCCCAGCCTCAGCAGAACCAAACGCAGCCCCAGAGCCAGAGCCAGGCGCCCCCAGCCCCGCCGTCCTCCAGCTCCCCTCAGAAACCCAGCCAGTCGCCAGGCCACGGCCTCCCATCTCCTCTTACTTCACCAAATCCGCTGCAGGTAGGCTGCTAAGTACAGATCTCCAAAGGTTTTGCAACAGTAAGTGGATATTCTCCCAGTGCAAAGGAAATTTGGATGAATGTAACACCTTCTGACCACACAAGCTAAGAAATTCTGCCTCATCTTAGCTAATCTTTARAAGCATGTGCCTTAGGCCAAAAAGCCTGATAAACCAGAAAAGTATATCTAATGATGGACCTAGCCCTGTTTCCCTTTGAAGGGTAAGCACCTTTTATTCATTAAGTCCATACTATAAAGCCCACAGAAAACGGTCTGATTTTTTTCCATTGATGCAGCGGTGTGACCTTCACAAATGCATTTTCCTGGCAGTCACCCTTTGTGATAACTCATAGGAGCAGCAAAATTAGCTGCTTATTATCAGATGATCCTGACTGTCCCTGAAAGACTAAAGCTTCCACTGGTGAATGTGTGCTAGATATGGATGGGTAACCCTTCCTCTTGAAACCACAGTCCTAAAGTTCATCCTGTGAAGGATCAAATACTTCTGTTAAGATCCTCAGTATAGATCCCAGAGCTAAGAAAGCCAGAGCTAATTCCATTCCTAGGTGCTCCCTCCACTGAAATGGGTGTTTTTGAATATATCACAACAACAAATGTGACAACCACACTGATGCTGAGCTCTGCTTGTCTTGGAACTCCCATCTAGAAATATGAGAGCTCTAATATAACAGTCTGAACATCTTACACTTGGGTGTTCTTCTACAATATGTGGCATGCTGTATTCATGCTCTGCAGGAGCAGCTTTGACTATACCTGCAAGTATGATTCTGGATAAACACAAGGGTCGTCTGTGAAGTGAGCAGGTTCTGTTTTGATGGGCAGTGGAACTGCACTTACGCAAGAAATGTTGCCTACAAGAAAAATCTCAGTTCACTTTATTCCCTAAATTTTGAGACCCCACTTTGAAGATTTTATCTGCACTGATGGCTTCTGCCCCATTTGCTGCAGAAATTGAACTGCATTATCTTAATAAATAATCTCTTTTAAAGCAATTAAGCRAATTGGTTTACAAGAAGTTGTGTTTTCTGTGTGGCCAGTTAAGCCTGGCATTAATCTGAGCTGCAGCTAAATTATATCGAATCTGTTTTTTTAATGATTTAGCTAATAGACTTAAAAGTCCACAAGAGATGTGTCCTTGCTTCGTGAGCCTTTTCTTACAGTAGAGCATAATGTTTCTAGGGTTTCATCTGTGTATTGTCTTAAGGGCTACTTAAGTGCTACTTAGTGCACAGTCTGTCATGCTAGCAAGTGCTTTGGGTCTCTTCAATAAGCAGATTATTGACAAACAGAGAGAGAAGTAGCTCCAGAGGAGCTTCTCTTACATCTTACTGTCTTGGTGCAGCTGCAGTGTATGCACACTAGGAATATATACTCCACATGTTGCTAAAACTGCTTGCTAAATATTTTCTTGTAAAAGTTGCTGTGCATTCACTTTTCCAGCAAATAAAGTGCACACAAAAGTTAACGTTAGGGAAGGGAGGGACAGGGATGAGCTTATTAAACATGCCTCAGGAGAGATGTGCTAACTGACTTTGAACTAGAAATCTTAGCTCTGGAGTCCCGCTCTGCTTCCCAGTATTTCCAGTCTCATCTGTAACCTAYAGGTACAAGCCATTAGGTGTGCTTACTACTATTTAGCTCTGCAGGGTCATGTCTCTTGCAGAAGAAGGATAAAAGCAAGTAAAACTAATGATTCCTTGTTTAAGAGGTGCTTGTGTCAATGTTCTTATGGAGATACCTTGGCAYGTTGTGCTTTTTAATGCGTTATCCTCCCAGCTCCCCTTCTGGATACAGCAGACTAAACAGTAGTAGAGAGAGGGAATCAAGCACTCTGAGATGGTTTTAGTTCAAGCACAATGTGCTAAACCACTCCTTTTAAGACTGGGATTAGAGCTAATGAAAGATACCAAAGTGAGGGATCTGGTACTCCCACTGGGTTGCATTCAGACAGTGTAGCTAAGCCAGCTGAATGACTYGGGCACTTTCAGAGCACCAGCCAGTGAATTTTAAGTCATTAGCTGTCAGCTCAGGCTCAGCATTAAAGATTTCCTAATAAAATTGGGGTTAAATATTTTTATGCTCTTTCTTCTGTGATCCATGTCATTTGAACAACCATGACAACGCAGCCGTGCACTAACTTCCAGAATAGAAGCCTGGACTCCATATGGTACGTCAGGCCTAGCTGCAAGGATGGGTGTAGGATTGCTGAGCTGGCTTTCCAGCCATTTCTACACGAGGCAAAACACTTCCCAAGCTTCCCTAAGACACTGTGTTTCAGAAGTCCTTAAGAAGAACTTGAAACATGGTCTGTGGTATTAGTGAGGACCGTGGGACTCACTGATATTCAAACCAGAGATACTCAGAAATATCTCCAGAGGAACTGCTGCTATACTTTATATATGGTTTAATGATGTGTTTGTGTATGTTTCTAAAGCAGAACAATGGTATGCTGTCTTCCATTAAATTTGAATTTCCATTCGAAATCCCGCAGAGAAAATGTTTTACCTCCTACATTTAGCTTGAGGATTGGTTCTGAAATTGTTCTGAAATTTTTTTATATGGGTGCAAAAAAAAAAAAAAAAAAGAGGGGAGAGAAGACTTTTGGCATCAGATCATATATCCAGTTAATAATAGCTGCTTAGGATGTGGATTTTTTTAATGTCCAATGCTTTAACTTAAAAAATCGACCTAAAACTAAATTCAAAGATATTATAGCCTCTAAGGTAATGATCTTTATGAACTAGAATGAAATGGGTTTTGTTTGAACAATATTAAGGGAATAAAGATCAAGTAAGTTAAAGTTTGACAGCTTAAATTTCATTTCTGAATTCTTGATTTTTTCGTGTGAGCTTTATCCTCTTACATTATTCAGGATCTGTCTGAAAGATATTAGTTTAGAACAATGCAACCTCAAAAAATTGTCATGGAAAGTCAGTAATTCAGGAGGATGATTGTGTTTGTTTCAAAAAACTCTGAAGCATAACAGCAATTACATCTCAAAAATGTACAGATACTGTCATGTCCTTCAGAAAGCAAATTAAATGAGAATGACTTGTTTAGGTATACCTGAGTGAGGTTCTTTTGCTAGGCGATCAGAAATTAATAATACTCGTGCAGTGTATTGGTTAAAATCCTAGTTAAAACTCTCTGAATGATTCTTGCCAGGTTCTTCATCAATAGACTGCTCTAATTCCATCACTGTTTTTTACTCCATACAGTGGACTGGCTTGTAGTTACTAAGCTATTCTTTTCAGTAATTGCTAATGATTGTGTAGTAAGGACAGAAAGCTTAGTTCTAAGCTCAGGGCTTGGTTCTGTGCTGACGTTATTGAGGATGCTCCTGATTTACATTGGCACAGCACTGCAGAATGAGGGTCACTACGGACTTGCAAAAGACAGCAAAGCAGAAGAGAATTTTTCAAAGTTGATCTGCATGTCAGCAGGTAGTGGGATCAGATCATGGAGGACCTACCATCCCTTCATTTTAAAATGGTGCAATTCTTCATAGGGATAATGGTAGGCAGATCTTGAGTTCCRTTGTGCCACTTGATTGAGACAAAATGATCCGGGGCACAAGGCAGCCCAACTCATAATGTAAACTTCAAAACTTTTAATTCTGTGAATATATCCTTCTCCAAGTATATTCTCTGCTGAATATTTAATATTATTGTAGGGCAAACTCTATGTTTTGTTGAATAGCCAGCATGTTGCAACTTCAAAGCATTGTTAGCACCTCTTATAGAATTTCCATGCAATTAAAGATCTGGAGCAGTAAGATCTTGATTATATGCTGTATAAAATTAGATGAGCCAAATATTAAGTTGCCCATTATTCTGCTTGACTGCCAGAATCAGATGCTTAAGAACAACATATATTTAACTGTCCTGGTCCCAAACAGGAGCTTGGCTTCTCGTGCTGACATTCATTGTATGTTTTAATGGTATAAATAAGAGGAGCCTACCCAAAGACAGATCTACAAATAGAAAAAAATCCCAGTGATTTCTACTGCTTTGCTCGTGTGTGGATAGAAACAGACAAACAGGAAATCCCCCAAGGATTGCCCCACTCTAAAATTATTCTGACCATTTTCAGAACTCTTTTTTAAAGCCCCTTTTTGTCATAGAAACCTACCTAGAATAACTGAAGTTGATGGAAGATGATGAGTGAGGGAAAAAAATAATAATAAAAAGAGGTAAGAAGAGGGGAGATGACAACAGCAGGAAAATCTTCCAAGTAATAGGAAACTCTAGGATTGCAAAAACAGAACCCACTTCAGATTAAATTTTTATACTAATCTTAAATAATATATTTGGCACCTCAACTCTTTTATAACAAAGGAGAAAAGARAAGCAGAAAGGCTGAAACACTCAGCTGCAAATAAGGGAGAATGTATATACAGATGCCTGAGGCTCCAGCAGGCAAAAAAGCCCAAATTGACCCTTCCCCTCCCTCCCRACCGCATTCACTGGTTAGCTTCTCATTAAGGAAAAATTTACTTTTAAAACAAAATGCTCAGTGTTTACTGACACTTTGATAAATTTACACATATTTAAGATATAGTAGGAACAGCAAAGTCCTTTGGTTCCAGAAGGGCAGACAGGATTAGTCCATGCAAAATGAGAGGCTGTTTTTTTGTCCGGACTGACACCCCAGACCTTTTGTGTTGTGCTCGTAGCCTCCTGACGAAACTTGATCAAGATGCTAAGACCAATTTGCAGTTTCAACTTGAGYTGTAATGCGGCCTGGAACTCCTCACCTCTCCCCGTCCTTTCCATGGGCCTCCTCAATCCTTCTGCCTCTGCTGTCCATCCTGCTGCTCCGCGGTGGTGACCTGGCAGGTTATCCTGCCTCCCAGGCTTAGGGTGCAGTTCAGAGACACACACATAGCTTTTCCAGCAGATCTGGCCTGTTTGAGGCCGCTGCCCCTCGTGCCTGGCACTCACTGCGGCCTACATGGATGTCATTTCCACAGAAAGGCT